TAAAGAACATCACAAGCTTTAAATGTCTGGTCTAAACTTGTGGTGCCATCAGTAGCATTTTATCCAAAGTGGGAAAGTCAAGGTACACCACTGTTAGCTTGGTGCTAACTTAACACTGCATACCCAATAGAACGCTAGTAGAAATTAGCATTACTTTAGTGATGATAATTTGACAAACAAAGACTACTTACAAAGTGAATGTTTATAGAGGTTAATGTTAGAACCAGTGAGGGAACAAATTACAATGATAGCATTCTACTAACCTGCCTCTCACTCTCCATGCCTTCGCTCAACAGCGGTGCAATGCCAGAGGGGGTTTCAAAGGAGGGGCCTGATGGGTACTTGGTTTGCTGTAATGTAATGGCATTTTTAAAGTGAGTGTGCTGGTTAAGGAAAGCGCATTTTAGTAATAACGCTGTTTCGGACAACTTGTTTGGGGCTGGCATCTGAATATTTGGGACTGAAGCTCCAACCAGCTCTAATAACACCTGTGGTAATAAATAAAATACTGGAAATGCCATGGCCTAAATGGCACTGACATTATAACATGTTATTAACACTACGTATAATGGATTATGCTAGCAATTCATAATGCATAATAAACATGGCTATAAAGTATAATTCATTTATTTATATAATTATAGCCATGTTTATAATGCCTTATGAATGCATTACAACAGTGTTGCCAGTTTTGTGTCAGAATCTTACTCAATTAAGAGTGAAAGTATGAAGCCTGCTACATTAATCTACATCTACATTCCTTGAAGATAAGACTGAAGTGCTGCATTGGTACAATCACACTAACTCTGAGTTATTTATTTAAGATATTGGAACAGAAAGTGATCCTGTGATGAAATCTCAAAATACACTTTTTTTTGTTTTGTGTGACCTCTAAATGTTTGCCACACTAGATGTTATTTTTTTCTGCCATATAATCATGGTCATGCACTAATTGCACATTTTGTTGTATTGTTTATTGAAGAAGCTTTTATTTTACAAGGTGTTTACACTGCACATTCAAGAACAAGAACTGAGCCAAGAAAAACTGAGGGTTCTTCAAGACAGGCTACACAGATCCAGCTTCCCCAGCCCAGATTCTAACCTTAATCATTAGATAAGAAATCACAAAGTTGACCTCAGATCAACATAAAGAGGTCATTTCACCTATAAACGCATTGTTCTTCTAGAATTTGGCACCACTTTGGCCAAACTTTGTTGAATGAACTTGAATAACAGGCAAGAAGTAAGACTCTTGAGTTTCTTGAGTGACTGGAGGAACTGTGAGTTCAACAATGAGGAAAAAATGTCTACCTGCAACGATATTTAACTCTTTAAAGGAGCAATTTGTAAGATGACACAACTTGTGGAATTCATACTCCAAACAATAGAGGGCAACACATCACCAGAAAGTTGTGGTGTCCATGCCTATCGTAAGAAACAGGGAAATGCCAGTCATGTCCTCCATCTTCACTCCTTACGAGTCTAGAAGAAACGTTGCGTGTTCCACATCAAATTTCATCCCTTTCATCACCAAGAGCTGTGGAAAGCAATAAAAATGTCAACTCTTGTTTTACTTCTATTTATATTGGTTCTTTTATTTGCTGCTGAATGTAGTTTCTTGCCAAGAGGGGGATGTGGTGGTGATAATCGTCGCTTGCCAAGAGCTTCAGCCATCGTCACATTTACTGTTCCTTTCACTGACTACCTGCCCTTAATCTAACTGGAGGGGTACCGTCAACATCATTGGTTAGAATACGCCATTGGTTAGAATACGCCATCGGGACAGTGCTACTTCTTCATCCTCTCATGTTGGACTGATGGCAGACTCGATGCCACAGTGACTCACTATCGCCTCTTGTGGTACAACAAGACAGCAAGGCCTGGGGCTAACTAGTTAGCAGGCAAACTTCAGTAGATATCTCCGCAACAGGATACATGACGTCAAAACTTTCTTTGCATTCTGTTAATAATTTTAGTTAATTTTGGAATGTTTTAAACTAAAAGTCTTACAAATTACACCTTTAAACTGAAAAGGTCTGTATGTGAGTCCACACTTCAGTTCCTCATTCCTTAAAATACACAGCTAACACATTAGCTTCATAGTAGTTAATGAATAATTAACCTAAAGATTAATAACTGAATAGTACAATCCAATTTTGTACATTTTGGGACTACTATGGCTAAACTTTGTTGAATGAACTGGAATGACAGTCAAGAAGGACTTTGGGTACATTTGACACAATAGCTTCACACACAACACGATTTTTCCATTATTTCCAATGTTTTTTCTGATGTTCTGGTTTAAAGACTAGGAAACCCCCCTTCAGCTGATGTCTCTTAAAGGCAGGAGGAACCTTTGACAAACTACAAGTGCTTTGAGGCAGATAAACAGAGGTGGGCTGTTTTTTTTTCACGGTAAATGGCTAATACTGAACGAGTCCAGATAGCTAATATTAAAAGCTGTAAGATAAAAATCTGTATCTGTATTTATCAGCCTCTACATCCATGATTATTTTTTTTTAATCACAGTGGGGGATTCTCAGTGGTCATATGACATTTTGCACAATACATCACATTTTTCTGTCATCCTTATGTGTTGTGAGTTGGATTGGAGCAAAAAACGATTTATTTAGTTTTAATATTCATTTTTAACTACTCTAAACAATTAATAAACAAATAAACAGCTTACTTTCTTATCAGCACTATTAAAATTTAAAAAGAATGTTGTTGCGTAACACCAAAAGGGGCTAGTCTGACCACTGCTGGGTAGAAGTAAATGATTTATTTAGCCCAGCGCTAGTCACATTGATGCAATGCAGGCAAACTCTTAAACTGTTTTAAGTTTTCTATAGCCTGCAGCTGGTTTAACAGGTTTTCTAAAAGAATGAGGGGAAACTGACAGCGTAATCTTCAATGGAGGGGATTTTTTTCAGTATGCAAATTGCTTTCTTTGGCCCAGCTCTTGCTTAAGACTGCCCTTTCCTTTCCTGAGTGACATCATCCTGGATCATGTGCTACAGATGCAGAGATCATCCACTGTTTCGTCAGATCAATTTGGAATATTTTGCTGCATTACCATTGTTACGGATAAAAAAAAATCACACCATTGTTCAGTGGAATGTCTTAGCTTTGAGTATATTCACTCATAGCTAAAAATAACTGACCAATTGTTCTTCTTGGCAAATGGACACTCTTAGCTAATGAACCCTTGAAAAAACATTTTTTAAGAATGTAAATCAAACCATTTTCAGAGTGTTTTCATCATAGAGAATAACCAAGTGACCATGCAAAGAACCATTTATGCATTCAAATGAATTTTTGAGTGTCCATGGTTGTATCTAGTACTGTTGCCTACTAAAGAACCCTTGAAGAATCATTTTTTAAAAGTGTATTTGATCAATTAAGACATGTCTGGTGTCTCAAATCTGGTCTTTTAGTTTTGCAGCTATGAGGCTAACATAGCTAAGTAAAGGAATGTTTAATGTCTGCGATAGCTTTGTTTCCTAATAGGTTATATCAGAGACTGAAGTTCGAGATTTAAAGGGTATCCTGTTTGCCACCTTTATAAAAAAAAGGACAAATCAGAATAGAAGGCTCTTTTGCAGTGATTCTGTGATATCTCCACTTACCCAGCAGTAGCTGATTTAAACATGGGCCAAGGTTCGTATGAAGGCTGGCTATTAGACCTACTGGATTCCTAACAGAATAAAAAAGCATGCAAAGTAAGGTACAGTAAATCACATGTACAATGTGTCGTGTACAGTCTCAAACCTAAGCTGTAGTTTTTAAGATGGCCTCTTCTTATTAAAACAGATCTGCAAAAAAGAATGAGAAACTAAAGGGGAGAAAAAAAAGCATTAAAAGAATGAATGTGCCCCAAAGTCCCTTCTGAGTGCACTCAGGTCCTACCACAGGGCCCATAGAGACGTGCTGTGGCAGCAGATGGAGAACGCAGGCCACAGTATAGCAGAAGTTAGCAGGAGCAGGTCTGCCAATTAAAAAAAAAAAACAGTGCACAGATGCAGATTCAATTACATGAACGGTAAACCCATCCATCCATCCATCATCTAAATCACTTATCCTTCTGGGTCGCGGTGGGGTGCTGGAGCCTATCCCAGCTGTCATCGGGCGGAAGGCAGGATACACCCTGGACAGGTCGCCAGTCCATCGCAGGGCAGACAGACAGACATACACATTCACACACTCACTCACACCTAGGGGCAATTTAGCACGTCCAATTGGCCTGACTGCATGTTTTTGGACTGTGGGAGGAAACCGGAGTACCCGGAGGAAACCCACGCAGACACAGGGAGAACAAGCAAACTCCACACAGAAATGACCCTGGTCGCCCGGCCGGGAATCGAACCCAGGCCATTCTTGCTGTGAGGCGACAGCGCTACCCACTGCCGCCTGAATGGTAAACCATGATCAGGAAAATCTGCTGTACCACATTTACTTTCACTTTCCATAAGACTGACAATATCCATTATTATCATGATAACTCCGACACAATATGTCACAAGATTCTTTTCTGAGTATATAACAGACAACACAAAGAACACTGATCAACTTCACACTCCCTTACAAAAAGAGCACAAGTAGGTCTATTCAATTGGACTCAGTGCAGTTTAGTATGAGAAATGCTGAATTCAATCATTTGTACTCTGTTTTCTGATAGTATCCTTTAAAAGTGCCACTACGGTTCTTGTTTGTCTTTTTTTGTTCCAACTTATTACAAAATAAAACAAAAAATAATTATTGTAACATATCTTATTTAGACCATCCTATGAGTTTTTCAAAAGTTTGTGTGTTGTCATCCTAGTGAGAGTGTGACGGAATTCCAAACGTACTCATCATCACTATCCATTTCATTATGTCACCATTGCATCAGCAGTCATATTTTTCCATTAGCCTCGAGACACTGGAAAATCCCCCTGTGTGGGCATCCCCAAAAGAGCTCTATAAATTCATTCCTTTGGTTTCTGTTTCAGCCAGTCCATCACATCCTTTGCTAGAGAGCAGACAAGCAGCTGAAGACTCAACCATGAGCCGACCCATCCTCCTTCTGCTCCTCGTATCTCTGGTGTGTGCAACAGTTTGCACAGGTATGTGGGGATTGTTTATTAGCTTTGACTGAGGCAGACCAAGTGTAGGGGCTGACAGCTCTGACAGATGCTTACATAGTAAATCATATTTTGCTGATGTATTGTACCAGTTCAGTTTTAGCTAATGAGCTTTGTATCATTTGGCATGTAGCCACCGTTCAAAGTTCAATCCATTTGTTATTCACCCGTTCCAGTTTAACTTAATATAATGAAATTGTGCTTATAATTAATAAGACACTGGAAATGGATAAAAAACTTTTCTAATGGACATTCTGGAACGAAACAATGGCAAAAATGTTATTGGCGTGATTCCATAGAAGAACCACTTTTGCTTCCCTGAGGAATCTTTCATTTGTACCCTTTTTAAAAATGAGATGTGCAAGCATGAAGAACCTTTTTAAAGTTTAAAGGACTTCTACATAATGTAAAGGTTCTCTATACCCTTAAAAAATTCCTAAAAGGTTCTTTGGACGTGTAGATCTAGAAAACCTTTTTCAGGGAACCGAAAGTGGTTCTTCAATCCTATTTTTTGGTACCTATATTTTTAAAAGTCTATGGTGGACACAAATGCAGAATAATGTCCGATGGCAAATCTGTCTTTTTATTATTTCGATATGTTTTTTGATGTTTTTGTCTGTTGAATAATGAAATCTCTCTCTATGATGCAGCATTCCGACTGGACGGTCGACAGCGTTGCCTCTGTACGACTGCCCATAAAGTCAATCCCCGGAACATCAAGGACTGGAAAGTTCATCGTCCCAGTGCATACTGTCGCAACACTGAGATTGTGTAAGTCCGTCCAAATATAAATCCAGGACCATTTCATGCTACATGTGGTACCACAAGTGAATATGTTAAAAAGACATCACTGATGACTTCAGTCATGCACATGATTTGTATACACTTTATCTAGTTTCTCCTTTATATAGTTATTTAATTAATGATAAAAGTAAAAAGAACAAGAAGACATATTACTCACAGGGCATTTTTCAGAGAGATAGCAATTGGTAGAAATTGGTTTACAGACTGATGATAAAGTTCAGTTATAACAATAAAACTAAATGAAATACATTCAGAGTATTACTGAAAATAAAATGAAACATCACATAGATAAAATTAAAATTATATTTTAATTTGATATATTTTGAGCACAGCTAAGAAAATGTATCTTTTTCATGAAATTACCTAGAAATAACATATAAAGAGAAAAACAGCGGACATAAAATTGAACCTTGCAGGACACCACAAGAAATGTATACAATTTTATTGTGCTTACATTTTTAAGTTTTTTTCTGACCATAATGAATGAAATGTTGATACTTTTTAGTAACTGCAAAGAAAATAATATGGTTGATGTAGGTAGGGGGCCCCCCAAGTAAGATGTCACTTAAGGCCACCAAGAGCTTTGTGCACCGCATTACTGCTGTGGTTCAGATTAAACTGAAAATCTGCATTTGTTGTATGTTTTCAGGGTGACGCTGAGAAACCAGAAGAAAGTCTGCTTACATCGAAACACAAAAATATGGCAACTCATAATGCAAAAAGAGCTGGGGTCAGTGTAAACGCTAATACTGTCAGAAACGAGCCTCTGATCCATAAAGCCCAGGAGTCACATTAAACTAAGAGCCTTATGAAATCATAGGGGATGGAGGGTTTTTACAGTATACAAGAGCATTTCCTGCATTTCGCATTATAACCTTTTAATCATGATACTCTTGAAGTGTATGTGACAGTGTGTGTGTGTGTGTGTGTGTGTGTGTGTGTGTGTATGTGTGTGTGCGCGAGTGGGCTGAATGTGTTTGTGACTGAAGATGGTAGCAGAATATTGGCCGCAGACCAAAACCTCAAACTTCATGGCAGCCACCCAGAGCTCTGAGGTCAGTAGCCAGGGCAAGCTGACCGGACAGCTATTCCTTCTGTTATGAGTGTGTGTGCTAAAAGCAGAGGTTTTATACGCAGCTAATATAAATTGTGATAAACTGTAATCAGGTACGACTGGGGAGTTTGTCCGTGTTAAGATTAGGGTAGAGATACAATGAAGAATTCAAATGAACCCCTGAAAGCTATGTACACATGACAAATGATTCTCTGATTGTCAATGTTATGATTTTAAATCTTATGTGATTAATTTCATTTTTGTGTTGGTATGTATTTGTGTCTTTATTGAATACTGATATTGAGGTGTTTGTTGAGTTTGTTAAGTGTCATCATTTTATTAAGGAATATTCACAATGTGTTTTTTTATAAAAACAGTTCTGTTGCTTTAAATAATATGTTGGTTTATTTTTTTGGCAATAAATATTGAAGTACGCACAGTATAACACCAGTATAACAACAAGGGCAACTGGGATTTTAAAAATGTAAAAACGTGTTAAAAAAAAAATAAAGCAAAAAAATGCAGGGTTTATTTCCTGACAGCGACTATATGTGTGAGCACAGTATTGACAAGGTGACGCTTCTTAATATAAATACACATAAGTGGTGAACTGTGAGTGTTAGAGTTAGGCCTTAATTTCAGGCCATAAACGTGAAACCTCTGTCAAAAACACCTCTACGAGAATGCTCATTTATGCTAGTACTCTTATGGTATTTTAGTAGTACATTAGCACTAAGCCAACAGCGATTCACATGAACATTTTTTGGCTGTTCTTAATTAAACTTGGAAATTTTATAATAACCTGTAATTCACCTTGTAGCAGATTCTCAATGACTCCTTCAGAGCCCTGACACTGCCGCTGCTGTTTTCCCTCTGACTGAAAGTGGTCAGGCTATCACTTATGTTCCTAGTCACTGACAAATCTAGGACCTCCAAAAGGCCTAGAGTGTATTTTTTTTCCTGACAAAATCGGTCCCACCCATTGTAAATCAAAACATGACTGAACCTAGAAGGCCTTAAAGGTTCATCACTCATAATGCACTTTAACTAAGTGTTTGGTTTATTCTTTCTTTTTTAAGCACATTTAATATCATTTAATATTTGCAGTATTTGATTGGTGTCAAGTATAACTTTGTTAAAAAATGCTTGAGAAAACAGGGTGTTGTAAGTGTTATTCATAAGCTACCGTAAGTCTGTAAGTCTGACAACACTTTAGTATATAATTATCACAACAGCACATGTCCCCCATGGGACTGAGACCAGCATAATAAGTGGACACACACACACACACACACACACACACACACACACACACACACACATACTAGTCACAGAATGCACAGTACTGTACCAAAACTGACGGCATCAGATAAACAGCTTAAAGCTTTTATCAGTATCAATGGTACTTAAGGCATCATCTTTCATGAGAGGGGGATTTTGCTTCAGATCTGAAAAAAATCCACAGGTGTTTTTGTCCATCCTTCCACTGTGAGAAGATGCTATGGGTCTGGAAAGTTGTGTAGCTGTCTAGAAGCTGTTACTGAAAAAAGAAACTAGACAAAAATGTAGAAAATCTTTAAATCAAACAAAGAAGCTACTTGTGATCTGAGAACAATGACTTAATCACCCTAGAGTCCAGACCTCAACATCACTGAATGTGTTTGGGATTACTTGGACCATAAGAAGCAGAAAATGCAACCAACTTCTAAAACTGAACTTTAGAGGTATGAAAAAAATATTCCTGCAGACTTCTTTGAAAAACTGAAAGTGTCCCAAAATTAATTGTAATAAAGACAAAGCTGTAATAAAGGCAAAGGGCAGACACATTAAATACTGAACACCTTTATATCATATTTTGTTACTGAGGCCACATATTGACTGGAAATGAAACGAATGATGGACTGCATGGCACTGTAGGTATTGGATAGTAACTGTAAATACTGAGCTTCCATCCATCTGGAAATGGTTAGGCTAACACACACACAATCACAATGTACTGTCATTTATTAGTATTTAATCCAATGCATTTATTCATAAATGCTTACTGCCCTGATAAATAGCTTTACAATTCATTTTCAGCGATTTTTGTGACTTTCACACAGTGCTGTAAAGATCATTAGAAAATGCATTACTAGTATGCACACACACACACACAAACACACACACACACACACACACACACAACACACACATACACACACTCACTGCTAGTCAATTCAATGCATAATTTTCAAAGAATAAAAAAAAATTCTTTACAAACATGCATAAGGCCACCTACTCACAGCATCATCAGATTCAATGAATTTTTTTTAGACTGTTAGGAAACTTCCCATTCCCACATTTCCTTCCTCCTCTTTCCTGCTTTTCCTGTTCCAATAATCAGGAAACAAACAGCATTGTTATATTGCTATGACACTTCTTGTAACCACACAGTTAACACACCACCAGCTTTTTGCATATACATTATTAGATTTTCTGCTTTGTAGATTTAGATGACTACATGTACTTACATATTGAACATCACTGAATCCCGTTCAGAGAATAGCGTGACATGCACAAGGGCGGTGTGAAGTCAGACTGGACTTTGTCCCTTCAAAGAAAGTTATTTAGCTCAGTGCTTTTGCATTTGGGTGACTGATCCATTTGTGCATGACCTTCAGTTTCCTTTGCTCTTGTACAAGAGAATAATTGTGTCATTGTTGTGCAGAACAGGAGACACAGAGCTATCCCGAGGCACTTCCCCAGTGTTTAGCATGAGTGTTTACTGATTTGAATAGAAGTCTATTTAAACCTGAGAGATTTATGACCTTTCAGATTTTCATGAACTTTCAAGACCAAAACAGTTTAGTCATAAACATATTAATTTGAGAGAACCAGTGAATAATAATTTAAAGTACGTTACACCCCCCACTGGCAGAACTAATCTATTACAGCAAGCTTTGTATTTCTAGTAATCTTTTGTAATGTTCTATGACTGTGAATAATTACTATTTGTTGTAATACTGAAGAAAATACCATTACATAATTACTGAAAAAGTTCATTTAATATGCGTTATGAATTGGAGTGATGTTTGTGGTCCAGAACTAATACTCCAACATCTGTACCTGACCCCACTAATGCTCTTGTGGCTGAATACATTCAATTCCTTTGGACATATAGTGTTCTGCCTAATGTCAGAAAGTCTGGTGTGTTTTGTCACTTAATGTAGAAGATCCACCTATTCAGCCCACAGACAGTCTAATATTTATAGTTCATTCGTATACCAATAACTCCGCTCATTTGTATGTATGTACTTCTGTCCAGTGGTTTTATCCATCCACACTTTTACAAGCATTGAGCCATTTGGAGCAAGATATAATCACTGAACTAAAAAAAGTATAAAAAGAAAGGAAAAGTAAAAAAAGTTTACTTTGAAGCATTTAGATTCTAAGAAATGAGAGATCCTTGTGTGTTTTTCAACACATATCAGTTTATTTCACACGTCTGTTTTTTTCTGTTGCATTGTTTTCAAAATTGCCTGTTCATATGATACAATAGCATCCAGTATAACATACAATATATTACACTATTGAATAAGATTATGAGTCTTTTTAATACTGTAGCTTTCACCACAAATAAAAGACACACAGCTTTCACATAAGTCGTGGTGCTTTATTCTCCAGCTGTTGTTGGCAACATCCATGCCGTACATAAGCAGTTTTCACTTTACTAACAGCTCGTTCACTATCCAACTAATGTCTCTCTCTCTCTCTCTCTCTCTCTCTCTCTCTGCACACACACATGTCCTTATGTCTTCAGCAGTCCTAGCCCCAACATCCACAATAAAAGTCCTTAGCAAAATAACCCAGTGAATAAAAGCTGAAGAACACATAAATTAAATTGTCAAAAAAAAAATTATATATGTACACACACACACGTTGCTGTTGTCGGAATCTCCATTTTTGCCGTTTTTTGGGTTTTTATAATAATTTCATAATTTGAAAATGCCATAAAATCATTATGGACGATGTTCATGATGAATTGACCAAAGGAAATAGTCAAAATTACTCAGAAAAAACTCTTCCACTGACTTACATTAAAAGCAAAATAAGTTCATGTAGGCTGGTACATTACCCTCTCTGAGCCCTTAGCGTTGCCTCTGGCGAAGATCACTGATGTGTACTCTTATTATATATTCCCCTGATACAAACTAGGACTAATCAGAGCGGATGGGTTTGCAGTTGTTGGAAAAACATCGCAGAACTTTGAGGAGGATCTCAGGGTTTAGAGCATCTTTTAGCACAGGCATTTAGCCACAGGACGGTAGTCTCACTCATGCTTACCCACCTGCTCATGCTCAAACACAACCACAGTGGGCCATTCACTATGTTGGTTAGAGGTTATTTTCATGAAGTTGGATTACCGGATTACATATTTCTAACATGGCATATCAAACTAATATCAGCAGAACTATTACCATAAAAAATGTTTTCCTGACCACCACTGTTGTGAGGATTCAAGAGACTATAGCCTTCATGTCAGCTTAAACAAGTCTGGACAATCTGCACTCACTTCTGTCATCAGCCAGGCATTTCTGCCAACACACTATTTAGTTTTACTACATAAACTTTTGAGATGGTTGTGTGTGAAAATCCCAAGAGATCTCTAAAAACACTCAACAATGTCATGGTCAAAGTCACTTGGATCTAGGCCTGTGCTACTAACAGAATCCTCTTTTATGGGTAACCGTATTTTTTTCCTTTGCTTTACCATTTTGTCCTCTAATTTTCCAACGGTCCCTTACACCGAAATGGATGTTGGAGAAAATACAGTGCTACCATGTGAGTTTAGTCTTAATCTTTGTCAAATACATGGTTTGTGGCCACTTAGTTCATGTGTTTTTACTGTCACTGGGCACAGGCCTACTTAATGACATGTTTTCCTCATGCTGATGTTGTTAACATTTATGAATTGTGTTGCTGCCACATGATTGGCTGATTGGATAACTGCATGACTCAGCGTGTGTACAGATGTTTCTAAGAAAGTCACTGGTGAGTATAGCCTAACTGCAATGTTTTACCTTTAACATTGTGGCTATAATCTTTAATCCAGTCACTGTATTTCTTTAGGGTATCTTTTCAGATCCATTTATCATTTTTCAAATGTTTCAAAATTTGTATCTGTAAATCCCCTTTGCACTGGAAGAATCGGCGTCTTCTTAATGCAGGTGTGAGACAGTAGCTGGGGCCAAGAATGTGCTCAAGATGCCAGTGAGGTTGACATATTGACATATTAGAGGCTGGCATGTTATGCTGTCAGGTCCAGAAGCTTTGTTCCTGTTCACTCTTATCAGAGTTTTCCTCCTATGATCTCTGGACACTGACAGCATTTGGCCATCAGAGGGAGCTGTGAGCCTGTTGACCAAGCAAGCATGGATATTCAGCTCATCTGGCATCTGTAATCAACTGTAATTCAGGTTAATATTTTTTTACAAAAATTGATAAGGTTTAGGGAATGTTAGCATCCTAAAACCCCAGATACATC